GAGCAGCAGCGCCTTTCGCAAAGCAGCGGTTGCACCCTCCAAACCTGCCCCCATCCGGTATAGGGCAGGGAGGAGTGATGCTGGCCAAGGGGGTGGGTGAATTACCCATTTCTGCCCCGTGGGTGCACTGTGACATCTCCCCTTCCCGTAGCCAGGCATGGATGATGAGCCTGTTCTCGCCCACAGCAGGACGGTCAGAAGGAAACTGAGCAGCGCAAAGCGCCTCTCTCCTGCTCCCAGCACCCAAACCTCCTACTACAGCGAGTCCCTGGTGAGCGAGTCCTACCTGGGGGGCAGCCGGGGCCTCCCCGCCCTGGGCCGCTCCATGCTGGATTGAAAGTGCGTATTGGGGTGAGTTCTCCCTTCTATTTCCACCCCCCCCCAGCACCTGGGGATGTCCTTTGGGCACGAGGGGTGTGTTGGGGCAGCACCCCAGGCCAGCTGCCTGCTTTGGGGGTGGGGATGGTGGGTGGTTTCTGAGGAGGACTCTGTGTTTTGGGGGAAGGTGGGGAGTTCTCTACCAGGAGGAGAAGAGGCACTGGGGACACGGAGTCCAGCAAGATCAACGGGCTGCTGGAGAGCAAGACGTACGACACCTACACCTCTTCGTCTGGGTACTCCTCAGAAGATGACTATGCCGGTAGGGATGCTCCGGCCTCTCTGTGGTGGCAGCGGTGCTGGGGGAAATGTCCCCAAGGGGACCAGCCCAGGACCTGCCTGTGCTCAGGGTGATCCCAGCCCCACCTGCATGCCACCCCCTATGGAAAGCCTTAACCCTGGGTGACAGGCAGGGATACAGCTTCTGGTTACTTACTGCCTTGCTTCTTCCTTTCCAGGTCACTTCTACTCAGGCCAGAGTAGCTCTGGGTCAGGGCTGAAGTCCGCAGCATCCAGGGTGGGCTCCTTCCTCTGGCAAGTGTTTACCGCACCAGGTGAGTGGGGGGGTGTTTCCAGCAGCGCCTTTCTTCCTGCTGGTGTCTCCATTCCCCACGTGCCATGTCTGCTGTTTCCTCATCGGGTGGAAGAGTTTTACCTCACTGTGGGAGCATCCTTGGGGACAGAGGGCACATCTTTGCCAGGATGCTGTCTGAGGCTTGGTTTCTCTCCCTGCAGTTCGGTTCCTGGGGTGGCTGTTCTCGGGGCTGGCAGCTGCCTGGCACCGCCTCGTCGGCACAGCTCCACGCCTCAACAGGGTCCCCTTCTCCAGGTGAGCATGGTGGTGGGATTCCAGGATGGGAGAAGCATGGGGAAAACCCACTGGACCCCAGAGAAGGGGTGCCCCATAGACCCCAGCACATGGGGTGGGTGTCTTGTGCCAAAGCCTGGGTGGGCTTTGCTTTCCCTTTGGCCCCCATCCAGAGAATTGTGATGGGAGAAGGTGGCTGCAGTTCTACAGGCAATTCTTTCTTCTCTGTGCTCCAGGCGCTACCCGTGGCTGAAGAGGTCCCTGCTTCTGCTGCTCCTCCTCCTGCTCCTTGCTGCTGCTGCCTATGGTGAGTTGGCCTGGCTCAATCTGTTGCCCTGCAATTAGAGCATTCCATGGGGGATGGGATGGTCCCTAGCTCAGTGCTCCTGGTACCCTGGTGCATCTGTACCCCTGTGCTGGGGCATCCCAGTAACCTCATCCAATGCTGATGGCTGCACTTCTGCACGTGGGCCCTGTCCCCTGCCATTTTAACCATCTCATCCCCCTGCATGCCCAGGAGCTTGGTACTTCTATCCCTATGGGCTGTTGACACACAGCCTCCCAGCCTTCCCGTGGTGGGGAGCAGGAAAGCTTTCCTCCTCTGACGTGCCTGGGACAGGGGACCTGACCACACTGGACCAGGTAAGCCTTAGCAAAGGTGTGGTAGTGACCCAGTTGGGGTGGGTGCCTGCCCAGAGTTGGGACAGTGTGGCCTATGGCTGAAGGAACCTTGCCATGCTGGTGGAAATAGCTCCCCTGGCCATCTCACTCCCAGGGTGTCCAGAAATGGAGTAGGGGGAACATCTACCCTCTCCTGGGAAGCAGCAGATGAATGAGATGCCACTGACCCTGGGGACTGGGTGGCCTGGGTCCCCTGTCATAGGGGTCCCTGTGGAGCAGGCTGCCCCCTTAGGGGCTGCACCTCCCTGGGGGGCTGCATCACACCCTGCTGTTGCTGCTGTAGGGGCACCACCGGCTCCTGGCTCGCTTCCAGGCCCTGGAGAAGCGCTTTGCGGTGCTGGAGGCCGAGATGTCGCAGTGGGAGCTGCGGCGGGGAGCGGCAGCGGTGGCAGCAGGGGGAGAGCCACCCCCAGGGGATGTCCTGGCCCTGCTGGATGGGCTGTTGAGCCGCCGGGACGCGGGGCTGAAGGAGCATCTCCGCACCGACATGAACGGCCACCTCCAGGTGAGGTTTGGGGGACATGTGGGAAGGTGGGGGCATATGGGGTCAGGCTCTGATGTTCACCTGCTGTTCCTCACTCTGCAGGGTGAGCTGGATGCTCTCCGAGCTGAGGTGCGGAGGGATCTAGATGGACGCTTAGGGAAGATGGCACAAGCTTCTCGGGTAAGAGGATGAGCATGTGGTGGTACCTGGGCAGGACATCCCTGCTACTGACATAGAGGCCTCACCCCTTCCCTTTCTCGTGGCAGGAGATGGAGACACGCTTGCTGCAGCTGAACTCAGAATGGCAGAGGTAATGCTGGCTGCCCAAGCAGGCTGCTGCTATGTTAGGGACAGGCAGGTAGCAGGGTGAAATACCCATAGCAAGGCAGAGGAGAGGTTTCTAAGTCTGGTTTGCTTGGGGCTGAGGACAGATTGAGAGGCACAATCTTGTATGGAAAGGGGGGAGGAATATGTGGGTGTGTCAACAAGAAAGTGCCCTGGCTGCCAGCAGGGCTCAAAGGATCATTGCAGCAAATAACTTTCACAACCATCATTTTGCATCACTGTGGGGAACATGGCTGCTTTCCCCTAGGATGCAGTAGAAGAGATCATTGCTACAGGAATTAAACCCATTTGGGGCTGGAGATGGGCTGGAGGGGGACGGGGAATGAACCTGCTCCCCCTGTTTGCAGAGGGGAGCTGGGGCTGCCACGGGTGTGAGGTTTTGATGCCTTTCTTTTGGCACAGCTCAGTGCAGGAGAGCCTGCGAGGGAGCTTCCAGCAGGAGGTAGGCAAGCTGGAGCAGGAGGTGGCAGCGCTGAGGAGGGAGCTGGCAGGCCTCAAGTCGGACCAGGAGGTGATGGGGAAGCACATGGAGGGGATGCTGGAGCAGCTGAAGGCTGTGCGTGCTGATGTGAGTCCCTGGTCCCACTATGTTCAGCAGAGGGGGGCATGAGGGCCCCTGCCCTGGGGCTGAGCTCTGTGCCCTGTTTCAGGTGGAAGCTCAGTTCCCAGCATGGGTCAGTCAGTTCCTGTTGCAGTCCCGGCGGGGTGGCACTGCTGGGCTTGTCCTCCAGCGGGAAGACTTGCAAGCAGAGCTCCAGGCCCTGGAGCGTAAAATCCTGGACAAAGTCTTAGAGGACAGGAGGCTGTCATCACGGGATGCTGATATCAGAGTGGCCCTGCAGCAAGCGGGGACCGCGGGGGTGACAGAGGAGGTGAGTGCTGGCTGAGCTCCAGGGTCATGATGGTGACTGCAGGTGTGGGATCAGGGGCCGTGCCCCACTGTGTGTGTGCAGGGGGGGTAGCACGTGCTGCTCACTTCCACTGTGAGATGTGCTTGCTCCCTGCCCTGCAAGGGGTCACAGTGGCAATATCTGCACGCCTGTGGAGCTCTTCCTGTCTTAAAATCTAAGCTGCTGCTCACATATCCTTCACCCAAAAGGCAGGGCAGATGCCATCAAGGTTTGAGCATCTTGTTTACTCCTATCTTCAGCAGCACCGCTGAGTCACTTGGGGCAAAGCATTTCAGCAGAATGACACCAAAGGAAAAAATGAGCCTGCTTGCTTTGGAAATTGTTGTTGTCAATTCCCTGTGGAGGTAGTGGAGGGGAGGGATCAAAGCTGGGATTAGCAGTCCCTGCACTCTGCACAAGCTTTATGCACACCACAAAGTTTAGACCCACAGTGGTGCTGCGAGGTTTCAGCTCCTGGGGCTGGGTTTTGGCTCAAGAAGGATGCTCTGGCCAGCTCCTCCTTTTCTGGATAAGGGGGAGCTCCCATGGATCCTGCAGGATGGCGCAGGAGGAGTCAGCTGATGACGCTGGGGAGGACTGAGTGGGCTGTCAGGTTGTGTCTGGTACTCCCTGAGGAACACTCCTCCTGCCCCAGGCCCAGCCCTTTTGGGATGGGCAAGCCCAGCGTGCCTGGGCACTGCCCCTTCACTGCACAGCTCCTCTGGTCTGGGCTATTTTTAGCAACCTGTCATGAGGCTTCCCAGCCAAATTCATGTCCTCTCATTTCTGCCACGGTGATTCATCCCTGGCTGTTTGCAGGAAGGTCCTTGCACCCTCTCTGTCCCCACAGGGTGGAGGAGGGTGGGGGGCAGGATGCCCACCCTGGCCCTTTCCCCCTTTCACTCTCTGCTCTTACACAGCAAGTGCATCTCATCGTGGACCAGGCCCTGAAGCGCTACAGCGAGGACCGTGTGGGGATGGTTGACTATGCACTGGAGTCAGCGGGTAGGTGGTGTGGGATGAGCTGGACATCCTGGGTAGGGCACCACAGGGTGCTGGCATGCCCCTTACCTGCTGCTGTCTCCTGTCTATGCCAGGGGCTAGTGTCATCAACACCCGCTGCTCGGAGACCTACGAGACACGGACGGCGCTGCTGAGCTTGTTTGGCATCCCCCTGTGGTACCACTCGCAGTCCCCCCGTGTTATCTTGCAGGTGGGCGCCCTTGGGGTGAGACCACACTGAGGGGAGGGGCCAGCTGGGCTGGTTCTCTTGGTGGGTTTTATTTGGCTCTTGCTCTAAGCAAGTGGCCAGACTGATGTCACTGATGGTGGTAACATTGCTGGTGTCCTGCTCTTGTGCTTGTAGCCAGATGTCAACCCTGGGAACTGCTGGGCGTTCCGTGGGTCCCAGGGCTTTGCCATCATCCGTCTCTCCAGCATCATCCGCCCCACGGCTGTGACACTGGAGCATATCCCAAAAGCTCTCTCGCCCAAGGGGACCATCCCCAGCGCCCCCAAGGACTTTGCTGTCTATGTGAGTGACCTGAGGGAAGAGCAAGGGGACATGGTGGGAGGGTGGTGCCATGGTGGAGAATGCAGGAGGGAAGGGCTAGTGAGCCCCATACCTGGCTGTGGGGTGCTTTGTGAGGGTTGGTCCTACACTGAAGAGGGGGAAGAAGCAGTACTGAGGGGGAGAGGGATAGCACCAGGCTTCAGGAGGGGGTTTGGGAAGCACTGGAAGAGAGGATTGAGCGGGTATAACTTGGTCTCTAACCCCCATCCTCATCGTTCCCCACTGGCCCCTGTCCCTATGTGTCTGTTCTGGCCTGGCAGAGCAGGAGTGGAGGCCAAGTGTGCTTGTGTCTCCATCTCCCTGTTTGGCCCTGGGTGCACCTCTGGTCTCCCTCTCTGATCACCACCAGTTCTCCCTTTCTGCTTCCCTGCCCCTCCACAGGGTTTAAAGGAGGAGGGAGAGGAGGAAGGCCTTCTACTTGGGCAGTTCACCTACAACCACAATGGCAATCCCATCCAAACGTTTTACTTCGAGGTAAGTGTTTTGCTCTCAGAGCACCTGACCCCAGGAAGACAATGGGACCCCTGGGCTCTCTGAGCCCCGGAGAGCCTTCAGGGCTCAGCTTTTTCCTTCACCCTCTCCCCAAGGATGACACCATTGGCACATACCAGCTGGTGGAGCTCCGGGTGCTGAGCAATTGGGGTCACCTTGAATACACCTGCATTTACCGCTTCCGTGTGCATGGGGAGCCGGCGCACTGAGCCCAGCGTGGGATGAGGATGCTGCTGGGCTGACAGCAAGAGGGAGTTCGTCTGGTTCACTGCTTCGCACGTAGAAACCCTGGGATGTGCCAGCAGCTGCTCCCGACAGGGGAGGAGAAGAGCTGGGATTTAAGGGGTGAGGCTTTCACTCTTCCAAGGACTGGGGTGGCAAGGCAAAAGAGCATCCCATGTGGGTCCTGGTGCAGCCTGGCTTGTTTTCAGTGTGTATTGGACATTTTAACTTTTTAAGCTCCTTTTTTATTGGGTCTGTGCAACCCTTCGTCCCTACTGCCCGCTTCTTTCCAGCGGTGTGCCTAGCGTTGCCAGGGCTTGGGAAAGGGGTATGTAATTTTGCCATGTGCTTCATGCAGGCTTGGGTGCGTTATGGTGTATGGGACCGTGGTGACCGGCTCGGTGCCACTGGAGTAGGTAGGAGCCAGCAGTCACGGCCACCGAGTCTCTTCCCTCCACACAGGGTCATTTCTTTTGCCTTGGCATTGGTTTTGGTAGAGATCTCCAGATCTCTGATGCTGGGCTGGCAGAGGGGAATTAAGACAGTATTAATGAAGTATTAACATAAACTAACGGTTTGGGGTGGCAGGAGGGGAGGAATCTGGCATGTGGTGGTGGCAGAGCCTGCTGTGGTGCTGCTGTCTGCCTGCTCAAGCTGTCCTGCTGCCAGAGGCTGGGTATTGGTAATGCTGATGGCCTCCCTGGCTGGCTGCTCCCCAGTGTTAAGCCTGATGATTCTATTGAAAACTCCTGTTACCTGCTTCCCCTTTTGGGTTTGTTCTATTTTGTTGGGTTTTTTTGGGCGTGGGGGGGGTGGGGGACATTTTCCAGTTGGGGTTTTTGGGATTTTATTATTTTTTTTTTTGTAGAACAAAGTTAAAAAAAGACTTTTTCCATGTGATTTCTACTTAACCAGAGAACGTTACGTGGTGCCGCTTGGGCAAGTGGCTTAGATGCAAAGAGGGCTAGAGCTTTGTTTAGTAGGAGAATAGTGCACATACAGTAGGATAAGCTAGAATAAGATGAACAGAGCTGTTCAAAATACAGGCCTTGAGCTGTTGGTGGCTTGGTAGCTGAACCTGGGAGACAAGGTCCTCTGTGGACTGCTGCCTGGCAGGGTGCTGGAGATCCTGCCCTCTTTGCTCCGGAGATATCCTCCGAGACTGCAATGCGTGGCTGTGGCCTCTTGTCCATGGCTGCATCTGTATATAGGTGACTGCCTGCAGTGAGCTGGAGCTCTCCACCATGCTCTCCATGGGTGGGAGATGGGGCAATCCCCAGGGCTTGCAGGTGCCAGCATGCTCCTGCACCTTGGGGAGCAATGGGGCCTCCCTCCACCTGCAGCGCTCAGGGCTGCCTCTGTTGCCTCCTGGGCCCCAGTGGCAGATGGCTGGCACAGGGTGATCTTCTTTCTCTTGGAAGGGCTCCCTTTCCCTCCTGCCTCCTCCTCACCGGCATGGCTCAGTTCCCTGACCATGCTGGAGCAGGATGGGAAGTTCTGCCTGCAGTGGGCATGTAAATCCTGCCTCTACCTGTGGTGTGATGGGGGGAGCTGTGGCAGGGAACTGCAGGAAGGATGCATGGGAACCTTCCCTGAGCTGAGGAGTGCCAGGGCCATCTGGCCACTCCACTTCCTTGCTGCCTGCATCACCCTTAGTTTGGCTTATGTTCTTGGATGGCGTTTAAAGCATTCCCGTTTGTCTTGTGTTTTGTTGAAATAAAAGCTAAAGGGCTCATGTTTAGTGTTTCAGCCCTATCTGGTGCTGGCATCATCCTTCCCCTGGCACCACCAGCAGTAGGGGTGCACCATGAGTTGATTCCTGTATGGTCTTCTCTGGTCCAAGTACTGTAGGCTGAGGGATAGAGAGGAGGGGAATGGGCTGAATAAGTGTTTCCCTTCAGCATGCTCTGGTGTGCGCTGGGCAAAGGGGTTGAGTCCTGACCTGCTCCATGCCAGCTGGAGGGGATGAGGATGATGGTAGTACATCCCTCCTTCTGGAGGGGTCTCCTTGCTCCAAGCAGCCCCATCTCCAGCAGGTTAAAATGACCCCATTGAGCTCCCTGCAGTGCTGAGAGGTCCTGCTGCTGGGAGAAAGCAGATCTGCAGCCAGATCCAGCGAGGATAAATTCTCTCCTATATTGAGCAGTCTTAATTCTTGGCAGCCACAGTCAAAGTTATTTTAAACTTGTCTACAGCTGCCCGCTTGCCTTGGAGTCATGTCCGTGAGTGCCCTGCGCACAGGGGGTTGTGCTTTTATAAATGCCTAGACCTGTCCTTGGTTGGGCAGAGCAGCTCCTGTGTTTGAGTGATAGAGAGCAGAGATGAAGCTCTCCCCCTTCCCCGGTGGTTCTCCAACTGCTAGAGGAAATGCTGTAACCACAAGGCTGTAAAACCCCTTTTCTTACTTCCTTTTTAGCTCCCTGTGCTCTGGGTTGGGCTGTCAGGACAGACAGGGTCTTTTTGATTTTGTGGTAAATCAGGCATGCTGGTGTAAGGTGGGAAAGGGGGAACCTCTTTCCCCAGGAATGGAGCTGGAGTGGGGGTCTTAACAGCCCCTTGGAAGAAAACCAGTGGCTATAGGGTAGGGAGCATTTGGCTTTACAAGGCAAGCTTGCCCTGTCCTCTGGAGACTAAAGTCCGTGCTGTTCTGAGGTAAAAACCCCTGGAGCCATCACTGAGAGGTCACCTTGGGGTAGTGCTGGTTTTGGACGTCTCCTCATGCCAACTGCATGAGGAGTCCCAGGAAGGCATGGTGAGGCTACACACGGTTCGTCAGCACCCAAAGTCTGCTCATGGGTGCCAGGCTGCAGCCAGAGCACCCAGGCAGCTGCCTCTCCAGCAGCAGCTTGCAGCATTGCTGCAACACCTTCCTGAGCTGCAAAGGAATAGGAGGCACATAAAACCACTGCTTCAGCATGTGCATCTCTGCCCAGAGGTATTTCATCCTCGTGCTGCTGTGGACGATGAGCCTGATGAGGCAGGAGAAATGGGAAACAGCTGTCAGAGCAGATTTCCTTTATTTTACTCCAATTCCCTCTTCTCTTCTCCCTCCTTAATTTGCCCTACACACGTGTTATGAATTAGCCCTGCAGAAACAGATGGTTGCAGGCAGGAGATGAGTTTGTATTTGATGCTGTAGCCTGTTGCAAATGCTGCACTGTTTTGTTCATTTTATTTTTTAATCAACAGATTGTAATTTATGCCTATGCAAGAAAAGAAAAAAGACCAAGAAAAATAAATTATGTCAAAACTACTGTGAGTGGTTTGGGTATGATGTAGGTGAATTGGCTGGTGGGAATGATGCACAAGCTATTCCTAGAGCTTTTCCATGTATTCTTTGTTTTTCAGCCTGCCATACTAACGCTAGGGGCAGCAGTTTTTACCTTGTCATTTAACAGGCTCTGAGATGCAAAAACTGCTTGGAGTAATGATGAAAACAAGACAAAGTTCTAAGGAATTTTAGTAACTTTCAGTAAGTAGTCTGTGATGGTCCATGGCTGCATGCTCAGCTCATCCTGCAGTGACTGCCAAGCCCTCCCTGGACATCCATCCATCTTGTGCCTTATCATGGGTAGGAGCAGAGCCTGGCTGGGTGCTGAGGAGCAGTGAGACTGGGGCAGCAGGGAGGGCAAGGATGAAGCCTGATGCACCTCACAAGTAAGGGTAGCTGCAGGTTGCTCTCTCTTCCTTAAATAAGGACTGTAAATTACTCAGCAGGCAGCTAAAGAGCAAGTAGAAAGAAAGTACCTACTTATTCTCACCATGAGGAAGTTAACCTAGAGCATAAAGAAAAAAAGCTGCAAAAAGGGAGTCACACCAGTGTCTGCTTAACCAAGATGGGCTGGAGGCAGGTTCGTGTTGAGGGGTGTCTATGCAGTTCTGCACTGGCCCTTCTAGGAGAAGGCTTGTTCTCTGCTGCCCCTGGACGAGCCCTCTCCAGGAGTAGGAGATGGGCTGCGTGGATCTGTCCTCCAGCTACCACCAGTTCCCAGTCCAGCACTTACTTGTGAAAGAGCTAGGCAGAGCAGGAAGAGCCTTCATGAACCTCTGAGATCAACTGTGGTGGCAGGAAAAGACCCATTCCAAACCTTGGAGCCTCCTGCTCTATTTACAGAAACAGGTGAGGTGCAAGTCCTAGCAAGGGCCCAGGGAGCACAAGCTTACACAGGCACTGGAAGTGCTGTGCTATAACTGCATCCTCTGGCAAAGTGTCTCAGATGGAGCTGGCCCCAAATGATTTGCTATAGCAGCTCTTCACACACACACGTGCACATCTCACACAGCATAGCTCACACCATTTCATCCCTCTGCCACCAAGAAGCACTTAAGAGTAAAAGCTGTCAGGGCTATGTAGAGGCTCAGCAGCACCCTCCCGTGGTGTGGCATGGCATGCCCTCCCCTGCCTTCACTACAAACGGAGCCAGCAAAGGAGCCTGCTGCCAGGCAAACGTTCTTGGTCTGGCTTTTGGCATTAGAGCAGCAAGCACTGGTTTTCCAGAAAGACAAAATGCAACAAGACATACTTTAACTTGGAACAAACTTTTTTAAAATTTATTTTATAGATCACATCAGCCTGAGTGATCTTTGAATGCTGGTCACAAAAGAGAGATCAACACCACCTCCTTTGCACAAACTGAAGTAAATCCTCTTCCAGTCTTGGCAGTCTCCTTCATTTGGAGCACAAGGAATGGAGAAAGAGAAAACCGCCTCGAGTTCCCTGTTCCTCTCAATGCAGAGGGCAGTGAAATCAGATACAGTCTGATGCTGCTACAGGGCCAGAAGACAACCCCACCAGGCCCTCATGCCCTACTTAGCCACACTTCACACCCCCTCACAATGCGGGTGCTATTAGTGTTGTAGCTGCCTATAGTTCCTCCCTCGCCAGGAGAGTGCTGGTATGTAGGCACATAGCTTGGAAAGGACTGTCTGACCTCCCCTTCCACCATGCTCAGGCCACTGCAGTCTCTAAGGCAAAGTACCCTCGTCTCCAATCCACATTCCTCACCTCTCCCATGCCACTTAATGCTTTTGGAGTGCTGGTGCCGGCATTGGGAGATGTGCTCTCCCCTCCTGAGGCCTGCTGTTGCTCAGTCGGCTTGAAAGCCTACCTCAAACAACAAGGTAAACTGGAATGAACTCCACATAGGTGCCGCAGAGTGAGAAAAAGGAACAACCCGCTAAGGAGGAGCAGAAACCTTACAGTCACCCTCTAAGTAAACCAGAATCCTTCACTGGAGGAGGAAGCACTCAAAGAAACCAAGGCTGACCGCACCGGCTGGGGAAAGCAACGATTTGATGAGGATGCTGCCTCCGCCCTCGAAATGCTCCCACACTTCCACAGCTCACCACAAGCTGGCAGAGGAGAACTCCTGTCCTCGCAGGTGCCAAGTGAAGAGGCAGGGTTAGAAGAAGAGAGATCAAAATAAGCAGAGAATTGATCACTTGCACAACCCAGGGTTAACAAACATCATAACAATTAAGTTAATTCACAGACCGTCCTTGCAGGGCCTTCCTAGAAAAGCTAGAAATTGTCATTAAAAAAAAAACAAAAAACCCACCATACAATCTTTTCTTTTTTTGTACTTCCAAACCTGAAAGCACTTCTGTGAAGTTCAGTACCAATCCATCATTGCCCTCTTCGGCCAAGAGGGGAGAAGACAAATCCTACCTCTGTCATGGCAAAGTTTGGCCAGTGAGTTCCAGAAGATTTAGGAAATACTGCAGTAAACAAAATCAAGGGGAGGTCACCTTTGCCTGGTGTCTCTGTTCTAAAGGTACCTGTGTAACCACCTGTGATGTCTGTCCACCGAGGTGAGAAGGTTTTCTCTGGCTCTAAGGACAGCACATGCTCCTCCAATATATTCTTAATGCTGTCAACTGAGCTGCTGCAGCCTCGAGAGACAGCTTCAATTCAATCCAATGTGCACAAAGCAAACAATGAGGAAAAACAGCATAATGGGAAAGGGAACAGGATGGGCAAATGCCTGCCCATTTAATTCTGTCTCCAATTAGAATCTTCAGTGCTGTCAACATATTTGAGAAGTATATTCACTATAGGATTCCTCAACATCAAGAACTGCTTTCCTCTCAGATCTCCAAGTAACTTTCTTACCATCTCCTTCAAACTTCAGTCACTACAACATTAAATTAAACCCACTTAGAAACAGAATCCAGAAATTTGGCACGGGACCTCAGTGGTGAGGAAACAATGCCCTGTGGAGCCATCCTAAGCAATGTGTTTTAACCTTTGCAAGTCTGAAATTTCCAGCGTTCGTTTGACAACCCCTGGATCTGAGACAGCAAAGAGGAGGAGAGCAGCAAGTCCTGTGAACAGAATGGGGTGAGGGAGGAGGGAGGCAGCTAACTGGCTCTTCGCAGTTCTATCCAGACTCTCCTCTCATCTTCATGCACACAAAATATAATAAAAACTAAGAATAAAAACTAAGCCCATGATGTACAAAAACGTGTCAATAGGGGGAGGAGGAAGGTGTCAGTTACTCAGTTCTGTGTGTCTCATCACCTTCATTAGCTTATAAATTATTCTCCTCTCCATTGCTTCCTTCAGAGAGGAGGGACGATTCTTCTGCAGCCAATCAGCTGGATGGGTTTTGGTTTAAGCTGCTCTGGATCTTTTGGATAAGAAATGAAGGGAAGGGGAGGAATTCCTCAGAGGGAGGAGGAGTAAGAAATTCAGCAGCCACTGGCAGGAGTCACACAGGCTCCCTGAGACTTCACTTTATGGCGCTGACCCCCACGTCGCCGTCCTCCTCCTCCGACTTTAGACTGAAAAACAAGAAGATGCACTTCAGTGCACAGCAACCTCTGAATCAGAATCCAGATGGACTACACACATATCCAGAGAGCAGGAGGGCAATTGTGAATGATCAGCTTCCTACTACTGCAGGAAGGAGATAAGGCAGGCAGACACACCATGAATAAAGGAGGAGAGACAGATACCCCATGAAGTTCAGTCCTTCAAGCTGGGGAGGACCTGATTTCCCAATTTTCTGAATGCTTTACTCCCATGAGAGTCACCAGGTCCCATGGGGCTCAGCATCTGGGAAATCAAGGCCTCAGGCTCCCTTGGCTTTATGCAGAATGGAAGGAGAGACCCTGCTCCCCCTCCTTTTTAACCTTAGACTGTTCCCAGGCTCAAGCCAGCAAACCCACCATTCTCTTTTAAAGCAGCCAAATACCTTATTGCCCTCACGGATGTGGGGCTCTTCATCCAGTGCAGGCTGAGGGGAAGCAGCAAAGAGAGAGAAGCAGAGGTAAGCAAGAATAAAAGCAACACAGACTCTCAGGGGGAGGGATGAAACAGCAAGCTGGGAACATTACTTACAACCACAGTGATGCTACATCAGGACAAGGAGGAGATGGGGGATCAGTAAAAAGCCACAGGCAAATGAGAGAACCCCTGCCAGAGGGCCCTCTTTCAGCAGCCAGCCTGCCTCAAGAGGGCTTGATTTGACCAATGGCAACTAAGACAGCTAAAATTAAGAGGGGCAACACTGACCAAATCTCAAAGTCAGTTTCTGAACCTTTCACTTACTAGAAAAGTATACTAAAAGGAAAAGACCTTTCTTCTATCGGTAGTAAAGTTGATAAATAGCTCCCAAAGCCTGCAGTTAGAATTGAGTTCCTTTTAGACCAGAAAGGCCAGGTATCCTTCTCAGACAAGCTGAGCTGAGAAGTACTAACTAACAAAACAACCTGGATAAATTTCTTTCTTTAGAAAGAGGTATGTCTTTCCTTCTTGGATGTGTCCATCCTCCCTCCTTGACAGTGCAAATGACCTGTGCCTAATACTAGTACTTAGGTTGTAATTTCTCTAGTGTAGGGATGTTCTACCTCTTATTCAGAAAACAGAAACCCATTCTGTGACTGGCTGTTAGATGCTCCACTAGTTCAGCTACTGGGTGTATGGATATGCTTCTCCATTGTGAGCACAGTCAAGTCATAAAACTGGGAGTCGCTGCCAAGGGAGGCTGTGCAGTCTTCCTTCTTGGAAATTTTCAAGACATGACTGGATAAAACCCTGAGCAACCCTGGTCTGACCTCACAGCTAATCCTTCTTAGAGAAGGAGGTTAAAATAGACACTTCCTGAGGTCCAACCTGAATTGCCCCAGAACCCTAAGCTCCTAGCTGCTGAAAGGTCAGCCATGAGCAGTCATCCAGCCATCAGAGAATTCTGATTTCTGCTCTGAGACTGCTTATATTTCTCTTTGTTTCTGTGGCACATTGAGTCCCAAGGTGAGGGGACAATGCCTGTGCTTTAAGAGTACCCTTCCTCCCGTAGATGAAACCAGGATGTAAACAGCTAGGACAGACATGGTATTTTCCTCACCAATGGTTGCAGGGCAGTAGGTGTCAGTGGTGCTGCGGCTGTTGAGGGGGCCTCATCCCCAGCTGGTGGGCCCCCAGATGCTGTCCCAGCTGGGGGAACACCATCCTCTCGTTTTGTAACGGCTCCCTTCTTAGTTGACTGCATCTTGATCTGCTGTGGCTTGGAGTTCATTGGGGAGTTATTGGTGGTCTGGAGTAACTGCAAATCGCAAAGGGAGAGGCCAAAATCAGCATTAAAATACCCAGGCCAATTTGGTAAGGTTCGATGCTGCTTTTTAACAAAAAACCTCAAGAGAATTCGTACCAATAGCCATCAGGAGAAGAATGCAGCAGCAGCTGTTCAAAGAAACCTAGGCCTCTGAGCTGCCCTCAAGAACCCTTACTGGATGGAAAGGGCCACTCAGCTGAGGTGACACTCAACCCTCCACAATGTGACTCAAAGGGACCGGCTACCAGCTGGCAGAAAGAGATAGAGCCTTAAGAACCAGAGGCATCTGGCTCACCTCCCACCTTCACACTCCTTCATTCACATCAGCTAAAGACCCACCACATGACAAAGCACATTGCTTATCTGTTAACCCATGGGCTGATGTTTGTGATTGAAGGACAGCCTCTTCCCTCAATATTCCAGAGCTATCCAGATTATCCTGCTGGCTTCTCAGTGTCAAAAGTAGCTAATTGGACAAAACCAGAGTCAGACTCTTCAGCCTTTACCTTAGTGATGGTACCCACAGCTTTGGTGCGGCCTTCACGGAAGACCAGCCGCTGGTCTATGTGTAAGTATTCTGGGGTTTTGATGAAGCGGAAGTGCACCGTGGCTTTGTCCCCTGTTCTCAGGCAGTCCTTGTCCATGCTGAGAATCGTGGCTGTCTGACGGATGCTGCCACAGTGCACTGCAAATGGAATGCACAAAGGCTTTCAGCAGCCAGTGCCATTAGGGGAATAAACTCTAGAGAGACACTTAAGGCAGCTCTTGCTACTCTCTAGCTAACAGGGCCGACTTTGGAACGTAAAAAACTACTGTGTAGCAAGAACTATAGGGGTCACACAACTGCCTTTGTTCAGTCCTCAAAAAGAAAACACACATAAGCTAGAACAGTTGCCTCCAAATGGAGACTTTCCTGAAGAACCCTCAACAGAATCCTACACACCAAGCAGCTGGGCTAAAAGACTCAAAATGAGTCCTTCCATCAGCATTTGAAGCTGAACAATCTTTGCAGCATGGACATCTGTCTCAGGCAGGCTCCAAGTACACTCGGAGTCATACATCCCCTTTTTACCTACAGCCTCCCCCATTCTCTCTCAGATCCCTCCCCTCTCTCTAACACATTGCTGGCAAAGGTAAAAACACGAACTATGGCGCATATTCAGGTTCATAGACCCAGAGGAGCAAAATTATCTCAGGCTAGAATGGATACAAACTGTTACCCCTGGGAAACAAACGGTGAGACAACACTGAGACACATACCCATGGCCTGATATCGTGGGCTGATGGTGGTGGGGTGATGGAGCACCAGAATCTCTGCTTCAAACTCCCACGATGCTTGTGGATTCAGGCGGGGTGACACCATTACCATGCCTTTCCGGATGGAAGAACGCTTGATCTGAAAAGCAGAGACACAAAAAACTTGGCTGATTCTCCAGGGAAGAAAATTGCTTCTCTGGCTGACTGCATCCAGGAGGATCCTAAGGGATTTCACAGATATTAACTCATGCTCACCAAAAGGCAAAGCAAGAGCTGTTTAGCAATATGTAATGATGCTATGCAAAGGTTGCAAAAATCAAGATCAGCTGAATTTTCTAAGGAAGCTTTAGTTAGAGTGCTGGGAATGCTTGACACTGACACAGAAGTTTTGACTCAGTGATCCTTTAAAAGCAAAACAAACAGCCTGCTTGCATATTATCCAAGCAGATGATCTCTCCAAAAGTGTGATGTCTGTTAACACAACATGATAAGACTGAACACATGAAGTTTGGTATAGCTTAAATTATATCCCCTTAAAATCAGTGCAGCTTTTATTGACAGAAACCTTTTGCAAGAGGAATCACATCAAATTTTGCTAATTGTTAAACCCCAAATCATGCAGTTGGTCCTAATAGCTGAGAGGAACAGTGTAAATGCACTGTTCAGGACACTAATGCAGTTCTAGCACAAAAGGAAACTTTTCTTCCACTGCCTCCAATTTGTTAGACATCTCCAGCACTACCCCTCCTTACCTTCGGTACCACAGCTACCGCATGGCAGCTGTCAGGTGGAACAACCGGGAATGTGGGACCTGCAGAGGTTCTATGGGATTTTATTCAGTTGTGAAACAAGGCAGATGAGGTTTGCAGAAGAAGTCCTATTGCAACTGAAGTCCAGGAGCACTCAGGGGTTTAGAACTGACCATCTCACCTTTTTCAAAGCAAAGGAAGCAGTCTGGCCTCCCCGCACTTCTTTGACAGGCATTCTCTTGCGGTGAATTGACTTGACAGCAATAGGTAGGAAGTTGCCAAGGGGATCTGGTCCCAGCAGCAGGGTGTCATTTAGCTTGATGAGGCCTCTCAGTGTTGTCCCAGACACCACTGTTCCTACACCCTACACCAAGAAAGGAAAAACAGTAACTGGGGTTACTCGACCATGCCAGCAGAAAAGCTCTACAACTCCCCTCTCTAGGAAGGTAGCTTCCTCATCCTAGAAGAGGCAGAAAATTCTTCCAAATAGCAGGCCCCTTACCGGGACAGAGTAAGTATCATCTATCTGGAATTCTGCTGGCTCTTCTTCCCTGTAACTGGTCCGTGGAGACAAGAGATTAAGAAACATCTTCAGCAAATCTAGGTTCTCCCCAGTGACATTGGAAATCTGGAAAATGGGGCACATCCTGTAAAGGGAAATTGATGAAAATGGAGTTAGCTCACATCCCTGCCTGGGACTCCACGTGTAGGAAACATCCAAAATCTTGGGACTGAATTCAATACACAGTGCTAGGAAGGGAGAGGTTGGCAAGCAGTCAGATGCACAACACCCCACTTCTGAAAAACAGTAACATTGCCTCTGCCTTCTAATCACATTCAGGAAAAGGTGCAAAGTTCCAGGACTGAAGGAAGCCGAATACCCTGCTATCTTCTGCAGATTGCCCAGAAGCAGCCTCTCACTTGTCTCAGAGAGGGGAACACAAGCAGGTCAACCTCAGAATCAATACATTCTTATGGAATCAACACACCACATGGCAGATGCAACCTTCACACATCTAAACAATGAGACTCTCTTTCTGAATCTTCTCACCCAGTCTCCAAATAGGATCAAAAGAGAAACAACTCTCCTCTACTCCCGTTACCTCTCTGAGCTGAAGTTGGAGGCTGTTACAATGACATCATCCTTGCTCTGAACCAGCACGGGAATCTTCCTGCACCCTGGGGACTTCAGCAGTCGCTGTAACAGCTTCAGGGTTTCTTAAAGGGTGAAATGAATATTGTTAGGGAAGCATCTCCCATCTTTGCAGATTGCTTTCGTGGAGTCTCTCCCCAAAGGGAGACTGGTGCTTTTGCCACAAATAGACAGGAGAAGATGGCTAAAGGTGTGTGAGTGAGACTACGAGTTTGCTGCAGCCCAGGTGGGTCTTAGGAGCCATTCCATCTTCCATTTCATGCCATACATGTTTGCATCTGCAAGTGCAATGCTGTGACTTTTTATAGCTGTCTATTAAATAACTTGAAGCGTTAAAATATATTTCCTCTTCCTAGAAGGGGCTTTCCATATTGAAATCAATGAAACCCAACAGCACTCAGGAACTGAAATATTTGAGAACATGTGAAATAGAAATCAATTTTGACCACACAAAACTTGGCACACTTTCCCTCATAATCAACCTGCCCTAGCAGGTTAGAGAAGTATGAAAGGGGTAAAGGTCACCGTCACAGACTAAGACAGTGTAGGTGGACCAGATCCAGAAATAAGTATTTTGGGAAAAATCACACGGCTCCCAACTTTGATCTTTTGCCTCTTTTAAATGTATTTTCTAATCCTCATATTTATTAGCCAGCAGGGGCATTAACCTGATGCACTGGCATCAGCCTCCTGCAAAATGCCTTACAACAAAGGAGGGGGAAAAAAAGGCTGGTAAGGGCTTAAAAGAGCAAATCATTTATATTCTACAATTGTCATCCAATTAGATGGGTTTTGTGAACAAATAATTGCCTATGTGAAAGTAATGTTTTGGATACAGAAACACAAACATCTAATCATGCCATCTGCTCTTCACAGATACATTTGAGTCAAATCTTGTGTCTAATTTAAACAGAACATGACATGGGAGTGGCTTCTCCCAAAAGCAGTTCTTCTCACCCTGAGCCAAATGTTCTCCTTTCCAGTTATTATCTTATGGTCAGGCCATACATTTATTTGCCAAACATATATTATAGAGACATTTAGATTATCTTCTGATCACATGCATCTGTTTACTTGAAACATATTTAGGATTTTTACAATAATTAACTAACCACAGACAATGAACTAACCACAGACAGTATCAGGAGCATTTATTTTCCTGATTCTTAGGACTGATTATAAAAAAAACCCCCACCATTGCTGAAATGAATCACAGCATGTTCCTGAAGGTGTGGGAAACACATCAAAAGAATTTTAAAGGAGAGAGTTGCTCCCAGCCTGAAGAAAGTGTAGGTTAAAGGGATACTGCTGGGGTTAGAGGTGCTGCTTTAAGTGCTGCTGAGACAAAAACTGACTAGCCCCTGCTGCTCACTGCCATCTCCATTTGTGTCTAGTCCAGCCCATGTACGCAGCTACTTTGAACCATGATTTATGAAGTGCTGGTTATGAAGTTCAGACAGCGGAAGGAGCTGCTGTAGTTAATGCCAGTGTATCTGAGAAGTGCCCAGGTGAGCAGGATGTAACAAGCAGCTGTCCCTTCAGCTAACAGCTGGTAAACAAGTTTGATCACAGCTTAAGATCACATTCAAACTGTGGGCAAGGAGGAAAGCAGCTTTCAAGAGAACTTCCAGACTTTCCCTGCAGACTTAAAATACCCAGAGAGAAAGCAAAGCCACAACTCTAACTGTATGCTTCCCCCTTTAAAGCTCAATTGAGCAAAACCCTGCAGAAACATTTCCAGATTGCCCAGCTGAGTCCCCCAGTTTGGGTAATTTTGAAACAGTGACTGTGAGTGAACTGCCTGCAAAACGGGCCAGGAAAAAGGATAGATTTCTGGAAGGTGTTTAAGATGCAGCCAAAACAGATAAAGCAGCTTTCCTCCAGCAGCAATTCCTCAACCCAAGCAGAGAACAACAGCACATTCAGAGGCAAGAAAAAGCCCTGGAAAGAGCTTGCAGGACTCACCTTGCAGGATGTTGGCAGGGCACATGTCGATCTTGGTCACTACAACAAAGACAGGAACATTAAGTGCAAGTGCCAGGCCCAAGTGCTCCTTGGTCATTCCAACAATCCCAGCATTACTGCCAACCTACACCAGGGATACAAGATAGAGGGATGAAAATGTTATTCCTCCAGTAAGCTGGGTTACAGAGAAAGTCTTGTGTTAGACATGAAGTAGGCTGTGATTAGGTTGTAGATGTGTCTCTGCGATGGTATGAGCAGAGCCAGCTGATTTCTAACGCTGTTGGACAGTGGCTAAGGACTAATTTCTCCTTGGTTTTAACAAGGTTTTCTGGAATTTAAAAATCTTTCCGTTTTCAAGAACCATATATCTTGGGCCCGGCCTGGATGGACAGTCCGGGGGCACTTGCATCAGAGTCCTGATGAGATACCCACAGCAGCTTCTGCTCTCCACTTCTGGGAAATGCTGCCTTCCCTCCACAACCCCACAGGGACTTTGCAGTAGTTTAGAAATTGAGGCTATTAAAGCCGTGAACAGTCCCACTCCTGCTGGTACAATACATTCTTCTTGCTACCTACCATAAGCATGCAGAAGTCTGGTAAATGGCCGGTCATGCCAAAGACAGTAGTTTTCAGGTACTTCTCGTGACCAGCCAGGTCAATGAAAGTAATGACCTTGGTGGATTTCTCACAGATCTTTGTCCATTCCAAGCTGCCACCGTGGCTGTCAGGCTTGTTCACCACGTTGCCCTCACTGTCGAAGCCCAGAATGTCATTGCCCACACTGCTGGTGCGTCCTGACTCAATCTCATGCTTATGGCGGAACAGTTTTTGCCGAGCAAAGCCTCGGCCATTGTCTAGTTCACCATGTGTCAAGACACCCAGCAATGTGCTCTTTCCTGCATCCACATTGCCAACCACTGCTACCCTAGAGGGGAAAGCAAAAAGGAACCTGGTAAAAAATAATACCTGAAGAAACAAACAAGCAATCAAAAAAAAACCCAGACATCACTGCTCATGCAAATAACGAGTTTGTTCTCCCTAAACTTCAAACATAGATTCAAAAATCCTAGACCTTTACACGCAGAAATTCTTTCATAGTTATTAGTTGACAGTGGAGATCCCGCACTCTGAGGAGCGGGATGTGAAAGACTGTGGAAACACATCACTGGTGTCCAGAACACAGTCAGACATTGCTTGATGCCATGCAGCATATCTCTTCCAGCTCCTAGTTTCTGCAATCCAACATACACACCGTGCCAAATAAAAAGAAAGACTAAATCCCTAGTTGGTCTGGAGTATCTCTGCCTTCCTCGTATTCCTCACACTGCAATAGCACCGGGTGCTAGGGAGAGCACAGGAATTTAAATTGCTGTTCCCAGAAAAGGAAAAGCTCAAACAATGAAAGATTTGTGGGGAAAACCCTCTCCTACAGCAAACTCCTTCCTTGACTCCGATAAAGATGGTTATTATGGCTGTTGGCAAATGTTGGAAAACCATTCCATCCAGGTCTGGGCAGACTCTCAAGTCATGTTACACAAGCTATTATATGTTCATTAAACGGTGACTTGGATCATCATAGTCTTGGAATAGAATTGAACCCTTAGTCAAAAGCACTGTGTTCCAGCAGCGTGCATACATGTACACACATACAGACACATGTGCACGTGACTCCCTACCTGGATTCCAGCACACAAAAGATCCCCAAACTGCGAAGCTGTCACCCAGACAGCAACAGCCCTTAGCTAAACACAGGCAAACCTCCACAAACAGTTTGTCCACAAAACCGACAGCAACAACAACAAAATGGCAATTTTGTTAGCAAGGAGTGGCCAAGCTCAATTCCCTTTGTTGGGTAGCTACAACACCCAGACTCAAATCAGCGTTGCTGGCTCAGCATCACACACTGCTCACAGGGTAAAAATGCAGCTGGGCTGCTGACTAACCCTGTCTCCACCCGGCTCCTCACCTGACCTCCAGGAAGTCGTTGTCACCCACACGTTTCCGAACCAGGTAGTCGCGCACCTTTCCCCCCGCCTCCTGGTGTTCCCGCAGGAGGATCACGTCTGCCTCGATCTGCTCTGCCATGCTCTTCAACGTGGCATAGGATGCTTCCATGTCTGCCTCACTCAGACCATATTCAGTCCCATCTAGTGTGATGTTGGGGAGACAAAGGACAGTCAGTGAGCACCACCCCGCAATGGCCAGCAGCAGTGTCATTCTGCCTCGGACTTTCACACTGATTGGAATTTATATGTGGACTGGAAATGTCAGCCACGTAAACAGAATAAGCACCCTTTGCCCCAAATGAAAGAGGACTGTCTTCATGCTAAATCTTGAAAGATACTAGAAAAGCAATATCTTTCATCTAGACGAGCTTTCTTCATAATTTCTATGAGCAAACACTTAGGGATTGGCAAGAAAGAAGCATTTCTGTCTAATTCCCTTACTTCACATGCTGAAGGTAGTTTGTGTGCAGTCACATGCTGAAGGTACTTCGCATGCCATTTACTTCAGTCAGATAAAACATTTTCTCTCACATTGTAATCGAGGAAAAAGCATTAACAAAAGGAAAGTTCTGTCTGAAATATCACCACAATTAGCCAGTGAATGTGGGACCAATTTAAACAATCAGCTTATTTTATAAAACCACATCCCAAGTACACATTTTCTGCAAGTCTGCCCTGCACAGCAGTTTCTTTAGAATCCTACATTCTCCAGTTAAAACAATGTTTTTGGCACGTCTCATTGCCTTCACCCTGGCACTTGCAAGAATTGCTGACAGAAAAAAACAAGGAGGCACTGCTGCCTCTGAACAGCTCACCCAAGCAAAGAATTAAAAGTGAGAGCAAGCCAGTGGCAACTACCTAGACACTTTCAAGGCCACCACAGCTCTTGGCTCCTTTCGTAACCCACATGTTGAGAAGCTGCATGGATTTCAGACCAGAATCTCCTCTGTGGGTAAATAAACCAACAACCAAAGGCAGAGAGCTACACTGCACCTGGATGACCAAAGCTATTGCTGTATGCGCATTCATATGCATGGCTGACTCATCAGCTGGTGAGCAGTAACTGCAGTTTGCGTGAACTAATCAGCATTTTAACTACTGCACAGCTCTCCAACAAGTAGAGTTGCTGGGTGATTTCCAACCTAGCTCAGGAGCGGGCTGAGAAGCTGTTGAGATGGTGGAGAAAACAAAAAGCATCATGGCTGGGGTCTTGAGTTGTAGAAGGGGAAGGAGAAGTAGAGGACATGAGAGGGTAAGAGCCAAGGGATAAATGAAAGGGTCACTCCTGATGAAGCAGTGAGCTTCCTGGCAGTCTTGCTTCTCAGTCATCCAAGCTGGGTACCCATGATGATCAAAATCACAGACACTCGAATGAGAAGGAGTGACAGTGGTAGGGATATCAAGATTTTTTCTGCTGGGGATCTTTTCTATAAATCGGACACAATAGCCATCTTCCTTGACTGCACAGCAACCCAAAATGAAGTTAGAAGTTTTAGCTTGTATTTTAAGAAAAAAAAATGCCTACTTCTAAGTACATCAGTGCAACAACCACCAGTTAACACCCTCACAAGGTACCCTAAAAGAGAAAGCTGTTATTAGCCTGACTAGCTAGATCTTTGCTGCAGATGTGGTTATCCCAAACACCAAGGATTCAGACTACATGAGGGAAATTCACTTGGAGAGAAGAACATTATGCCTGTGATATTGCCTGTATGACCACTGGCCTTTTCTAGGCTTCTCTTCTATGCTGGCTGCTTCAAAAAACACCAAGAAATCCCCAAAAGCACACAGTTCTGAGGCAACACAGCTCTCTCCCTCCATTATCTCAGACAACCCTGGCAGTGACAACCAGGTTTTATATTCTTCCTCAAACATCATAACTAGCAGAATGTCTGATCATAACAACTTGATGCCCAGCAGATATCTAAGCTATTTGAAATGTGCCTTTAGCCTTGTGATAGCCATAGACAAGCTTTTTGCATTCAGAGAAAGAAACTTCAATTTCAAGCAAGGCCATGTTCAATACCAGCATCAGATGTAAATATTCACATTATGGAGAAGACCAAAAGGTAATCCATGCTAACTGCTAAAATCTGGAAAGGCAAATCAGTCACACCCAAGTTAGTGTGACAAATAAAGGTTTCATGCTGAGAAAAGGGAAACCTTTCTTTCCATAGTACAGACACACACTAACAAAGTAAGTCAGCAGCATATATTTTGGCTATCCAAAGTATCTCAGATACATTCCTGTGGGTTAAAAATATCTTTATTTAAAATGGAGAAGTGAACAAAACCAGACAGAACAAGACCCCTATCGAGCACTGAGGATGCCTGTACTAAAACTGTTACTGTAATTTCAGATCCTTCATCTTCTCCTGGGGTGCCTTATTTCCAAAAAAAACACTTGTATGATTTTATATAAAAAATACGTTTAGCTCCACTACATAAGACAGTTGCTGGCAGGAATAAAATAAAAGAACCTGTCCCACATGTTCTGCTGTACTTTATGGAGGTTTCCAAGTTCCAAACAGCAGTCCAGATAGATGAACTAGGTTTTTCTTATAATTGCAATGGCTTTTGTTGTTTTCCTGAGGAAGATACACTCACCGGATCCTTGACCGATGACATAGATGGTCTCCCCACATCCCTCATCAATTCTCTCTGACATCTGCCGGAGCAAACTGTCATATTGCTCTGAAGTTGGACTCACCATCACCAGCTGGAAAAAAGATTGAATATCCATTTGCAGATGTCAAGCAAACAATTTCAAAACCAGCTTCAGTTATAAGGACAATCGATCCATGTACTTTATTGAAAGAGAAGAGCTCTTTCTCAAGGACCGCTTTTTGGTGGTTTGCTTTCAGTTGTTTTTATTAAACCAGCTTCACTGACAGCTATTTCCTTGTGACACTGCACAAGGTTATTTGTCTGAGCTCAGAGTTCATTTATGTTGCAAGATACACTTCACGTAAGAATACCAAGCGTCTCTTTTTGAAGTAACCAATGTTTAAAAGCCACTTTTAAGTGAACATCCCACTTCTACTTCTGTGTAATACACGTTTCCATGCAAGGAAAACAAAGGGGAGGAAATATTTCCTCCAAAGAAACTCCTTAACTGGGTATTCCAGAATCCACTGCAAACAGTGCTGCTGCTCCCCTAAAGCATGACAGGACAGCCAGAGGAAATCAGCCAGACCTCACTGTGGAGCACACCTAGGCACCAAAACTAGAGCATCTCTTAAGTCTTTCACACACTTGATCCCCCCTTTTGTTTTCTGATCGGGCAGAAGGGAATGAGAGAACACGAATAAGCACTATTTTTAAACTCCAAACAAAACGTCAAGTACTTCACGCCACAGTGCTGAGACACAGAGATACAAAGCACTTTGTATGAGCATTTTCAGGCAATTCACCACTGGAGAGCTGCAGTTTTGCAAGCCAGCAGCTGTGTTACCAATAAGCTTTGACTGCAGTTGTTCCAACAACCACAACTTCCTTTGACCTCCCCTACAGAGGCAGCAAGAGAAGCAAAAAGTGGACAGAAACAAAGTGGAAAATGAAGACAAGACAACATCGCTTCAGGATTTTTCTTATAACAGCTGAGGACACTTGCACAGACTGGTCACAATGGTGGCACGGCAGTGGCAGACTAAGGACACCTTCCATCACCCATTCAGGGCCAATTGGCCACCTGCTTCCTGACTGCCTACAGATATAAATCTGTTGGTGGCTGCTACAGTGGCTCACTACATGTTGCAATTGAAATATGCATTTCTGCTAAAACAAGCACTTTTGGTACAATTTGTAAAGTCTACCACCTACCAATAGCCCTGTGGATAGGTACACTTGTGCCACGCTACAACGCTCAATGAAATCTATACTTCCACTAGCTGTTCTTTCATACACAGTCTGAAATCATGCCCAGAACAATGTACTTTCCTTTACTACACATGAAGGCCAATGTGAAATCTATGCTAGATTTTCCTAAAACACATGGTTTGCAGCAGTTCATAATGATTACATCTTCAAGCCTGCCCAACATTTTCTATTAACACAGCCTGACTTGCTAGCACAGCTAAACACAATGTGTATTCAAGGAAGAACTACCCCTACTACCTACATAGTTGATGAAGACCTTTGTTAGGAATTTAGAGTGTAAGGGAACCCAATCCCCCACACGTAACATTTCAGCAGTTTTCAAAACTATAGCAATACACGCCTCTGGAAAACTGAAGCACGGACAGCAAGTGGTTAAGCCTGGTTAGAAGGTTTAAGGCAGCCAAAGTAACAGTCTCTTCAAATGTTAAGGGTCTCACAAAGCATGTACATGATGGATGTGTCTGCAAGGGCCAGGCAGCTACAAAAGAGACCTTCACGTGCCTCTTTTAGACACATGCCCTACCTAAGCCTTTTAACTACTCGGCATGGTCTGCAAAGAGTAGCAAAGCACTCCAATCTGGAAGGCCACAGTCTTTTTACTTCATACCACGAATGTCTGAGTTTTGCCTTTATTATTTGTTCCTTTGGGTTTGTTTTCTTCTTAAAGGAGACCACTGGATTTAGATGAAAACCAGCAACTGTTTGGAGGCTTGATCAGGACGGGAATGAAGCCTGTGCGTTGATACGTAGAGCTTGTTTTGCCCAGCAAAGCACTTTCAGGAATTCCTGGAAGCATAGCAGACAGGCTCACCTGTCTGTTTAGGCTAGTGCACTAACACAGCTCAGGGACTCGGGAAGATGTATTAAATAGGCTGTCATATGCATAAAGATCAACAAAATAATGGAGGCCACCAGTATAGAGCCACACTAACTTCAGTTTCTTCAAGTCTCATCGCCAGCTTTATTTCCCTATGAGTTCAAATGCTTCAGCAGTGTGAGGGGGCAGGGTGTTACCTAAAACATGAGGGGACATTTCAGATGAGCAGCTTGCTGTCACCTTTCTTCACGGTGCCAGGCAGGAGGGCCCAGGGCTCAAACAGCACGATACCCACACACATCAGCTCAAAACACTGTTCCCCCTACCCTGCTGCTTTCACTACCAGGCAAAGGTGCTGCAGAAGGGTGTTCCACAGGTAGATTGCCTCCAAAGCCTACCCCAGGACCGATGAAGCTTACAGATGATACGGTGTAGCAGGACTTCAAGAGAAGGATGTGTAGAACAAATAGCATTTTTCATGGATCACACCTTCCAGTGTCGTTCAGTGTTTCTAATGGCTGCTTCTGCACCCACAGCCAGTTCTGCCGTTTCCTAGGTCACTGCAAGACTTTACTTTCTGTTTTGAAGATCTCTTCAGCTAGCTTCCTGGACACAGGGAGCCTGTTCTTTGCCATCTCCTTGGTCAAAGAGACGCCCTCCATCTTGGCCTCTCTGATTTTTAGCTTTGAGCAATCCCCTCCATGTTTGCACTACATATCTGTGTTTTTCAGAGGTTTTCACAAAGTCAAAAATTTCCATTTTTGTTCTTTCCACTTTGCCAGGCATTGAGCAGTTAACAGTAGGAGCCATGTGGGGTCTAGCAACCTCAGATTTCCTATAGGGCAAAAAAAGTAACAACCAGTTATTGTTTTATTCTCATGACACCAGAAGGAAATATATCTCACAAGTTTGAGATGGCATCTCTAAAGTCCCTTCCCAATCTCTGGGGAGAGGTGGCTTTCCCACCTTTCCTCTGATCAGCTTTGGTATTAACATACACTAGAGGTGGGTAATGGCTACAGCTGTATGAGCATACTCCAGGAGGACAAGTTGGACAGTGCAATTTCAAGAAACCAGTGAGACTGAGCTCAGGGTGTATCAGCCCTACTACAGGCAGTCCTTAGAAAAGAAGCATCCCATACCCATGAGGTGGGCGAACAATAAAGATTAAGGGTAAACGAAATATTATGTGGTATGTAGTACTGATCTTTATTGGAATAACACAGCCTGACACTTTACATGGCTGGAAGGCCACCACCAGCCATTGGGAATTCAGGGAAAAGGCACCTTTTGTAATATCATATTTTGCTTCCTGTTTCCTGTGGACATACATAGTTCAAGTGCTAATAATGTTCTGTTGCCAATGTAGATCTAATGTAAGTATCAGCTCTTCACTAATAGCCTTGTGAGATACAGTTTTATCCTGAAAGATGATCACTACTGCAGTGTGTTAGTAATGAAGGGAAAATAAACACCCACTAAGATCAACATGATAATGAATTTGTCCTGATAAATGGAAGTGTTTGCTTGACCAGCTGACAAGATGCACTTAATAACTGAACCCCAAAGTGTTCCTCTCTAAAAAAAGCACACCCTACAATGAACACCCTGGGGGAGAACAGTGAGAAACGTATGTAACACAGTGAGGGGTGGGTCACACAGGACAGAGGTAGCAACTAGCAAACAAACAGACTGCAGTGAGAATCACCCGTTTAAGCAGGAATTGAAGGGCAGCAATTCAACTGGGAAGACAGGAAAGATGGGGGATCAGGAGGGAGGGGCACATTATCTTCTGCATTCTCACCATATGGGATTACTGTTTTGAGCACATAGCAGAAGAGTAACTTGGAGAGACAGGGCAGAGCTCACAGGCTTAGCTCTCACCCAAGATAAGGATGAATGAAAGGTCTAGGGAAAAGACAGCAGCTGTACATTGCTGTATGGAAAAGTAACTTGTAATAAAGGTCAAAACCATGCTTACCTATCACTTCCTGTGCCTGCAGATATCTAGGAATGGGAGACAGGCTGACAACACAAATGGAGATTGCAGGAGAAACACATTCCTCTCTCTTCGTCAAGAGTTTTGGTCGGGTTCCTGGCTGTCAAGAATCAGTGACACAGCCCTCGGCGTCCTCCTGTGCCCTCTTCCAGATCAGCCACGTCCAAGACAAAGCAGAGATCAATACTGGCATCCTGTATCAAAATCTTGTCCAGCTCATAAAGGCATGAGCAGGTGGCTCAATAGACACTGCCGGCTTGATTTCTGTTCTTTACTATCTTATAAGACATCTTCGTAACATTTGTTTTAATACAGCACCACATTGTAAAATATTCGGTCATCTCCTCAAAAACATTTCCACACCCACACACCACAACTCCTCTTTCTCCATTTTTCCATGAGGGCAAGAAAACCCAGGACTTTGGAACAACTCCAGATGGAAGCATGAAGAGGAGGGATGTCAGAAAACCAGGAGAATATACCAGCTATGCTGACTTCTGGATCACATAGTTACAAGTGTACCAAACCAAGTTTTCAGGATACTTTGGAGTGGGAGATGCCACCACGATACATCAAACCCTTGGCAGCAGAAGGTAACAGTTAAAGAGACCACCCAACG